CCGCTGTCTTTCTACTGCTACTCCTTGGCTCCATCTTACTGCAGCCTTTCTACTGCTACTCCTTGGCTTCTTCTTACTGCTGTCTTTCAGCCACACCCCTGATTTTCTGGTAGGAAAGATCTACACCTAGCCATCTCGGACAAGAGCGAAAAATCTCGGAGGGCCCGTGTGCAAATTACGGAAGTTAAAGATCCCGTGGTGGTCTAAAATCGATAAGAGTAGACTTCGGCCGCCATCCGGGCAAAATTCAAAATTTCCTACCAACTGAAAAAGTTTAATGTGTCCCGCGCGCTCATATGACCTTATGCAGTTGCGAGCGCCGTAAAACACTGTTTAAAAAAAAGAAAGAAAAAAGAAAAAGCCCAATGCACACTGCTCATCGAATTAATTAATCGGACAGAGTCAGGGCAAGCCAGAATTTCCTCCACTCCAAGGAGTGACAAAGCTACCATTTTCGCACAGCATGACTGATTCGACTTGCGACCTTAAAAAACAAACTTGCTTAATTTTTGAAGGTCACAATACAGGTGTTTGGATTAGTTGGCGTTCCGGGTGAAACATTCACTTTGTCGACGACGCCCAATCCCTGCTGGGTGTGTGAATAAACTCTCGATATCAGACCCCGGCCGTGTACATGTATGTATGTAAATAGACACTCGATGCCCGACCCCTACTGTGTATGTGAATAAACACTCCAAGACCGACCGTGACAATGTATGCGAATAAACACTCATTGTTCACAAGGGGAAAAAATCTGGAAAGGAAAACGTCATTCGTTATTTGGTCGCTGTTAAGGACAAGAGGGCTAACCCAGGTTTTGGGGGTTTTCAGAAATCTTGACATACACCAAAGGTGGGCTTTGCCCTATTTATTTATAGGAGAAGTTTTGTTTCATTTGTGTGTATTTTTGTTTGGTTATAAAGAAAACTCTCCTTGTCCTTTTAAAGAAACTGAAAAAGGGGCAAACATTTTACCTTCAATTTTCTCAAAACAGCATTTTTCAGGATAGCCCCCTTTGAGCTTAAAAACGAACAAACGTCCAAAATTGTGTGTGAATTGTTCTTCAGACACATGACAGAAATGACGAGAGTGATCCCAGATGTACTTAGGGTTGTGAATGACGTAATGCGATATAATAACTGTTTGACAGAAAGTAGCAGCTACACGCTTAGACTGTGACACCGACGAAATACCTCACGTCCGTGCCCAACAGCCCCCGAGACAGGAATGATTGATGCTATCTCTGTGATCTGTGGCTTCTGTCCTCTGGTTATTGACTTAGCTGAAAAAACGACGTACTTGACCCTGCTAGAGATCACGAAAGATTTGTGAGGCAGCGTGGTGGAATGAGGCTCTCGTCAATTTTTAGGCATGCAGAGTTATTGGTATCATCTTAAAGCTTGTTCACTTGTCTTTATTTGGATGAAAAAATATCCATTTATCTTGAGTACAAGTCGAGATATTTGCGAATGAACAAGGTTGGGGTCACCTGTTTTCAGAGGTAAAATTAGTGAGAAAATGGCCGCCAAAGATTAGTTATTTCCTTTGCTTAAGAGTCCGTGGTAACTGAAAATTTATATTTTGTGTGCCTTTAATCAACGTTTTAAAGAAATGTCCGCACAGAAAATATGGGTTCTTTAATAAGCATGAACGGTGTTGAGTCAAAAAACAAAAATTTGATAACAATTCACAAACCTGCGGAAAAATTCAAGTTTCTTCACTTTGATTATTTTGACGAGAGCCTGATTCCACCACGCTGCATCACATTCGTTTTTCTTTGGGACCCTCGCTGAGCTGGCTGAGAGGGTAGAGGAATGTGTGTGTCTCCTCAGAGTCGTGACCTCCAGAAAAACAAGGTTCTAATTCGGAACTTTTTGTGTTGGCAGCCGCGACCCTGGAACGACAAAGTTCATACTCAAGGTCGCTGTCCATTTGAAGGAGATGATGCTATCGTAGGAAAGTATAGAGTTTAAACCTCTCAGACGTGGTTGTCACCGAGGACAGGTCTATGTTATTCTGGGGTCGAGAAAAGTACACATCTTTGGCGTTAATCTGGAAACAGATCTTTTCTAAACAGAAGCCTGACGCGAGACGGTTTTCAGATGGCACGTTTTTGCCACTATTGAACCGTGGGACGTAAAGTTCCCGAGTTCACGTAAAGGTCATGATGTAGTGGCGTCCCTGGTCTGTTGGTCAGGCTCTCAGACTCGCAACCGTAAGGTCGTGGGTTCGAATCCCGCCAGGCGCCCGACGTTGTGTCCTTGGGAAAAGCACTTTACACGAATATTCCTCACTTCATAAAGGTGGAAATGGGTACCCGGCTATAAAGATAATGAAAGATCTTGTCAGTGTTTGAACATGTAAAATCCGCAGCTTGTGCTGTATGCTTCCGCTGAAGCCGAGAATGTTTCTGAGTGTTCTCAGAGGGTCTGCTGGGGTAATAATAGTTGTAAGGCGCATAGAGCTTGCTGTAGGGCGTGGAAATGCGCTATGTAAATGCAATTAGTATCACTATTCTTATTTCTCTATATCATGTAGGAATCATGATTAGTTCCGCGTAACCTTGTACGTTTATTACCTACTGGGCCCGTCTCAAACTTCGCATAGACTTCTTCTCCTAGATCTCCAACTGCCATGGCCGCCTCTCCGTGAAGCGCAAGCATCATGGGTCATGCGTTAACCACAAAATGACAACAACAACAACAACAACAACAACAACAACAACAACAACAACAACAACAACAACAACAACAAAAACCACGAGGAGGTTATAAAAAGTCTGGGGTTCATGGAAAAGCATCAGTCTCGCTATGTTGAAGCTAGACCTTCCAGAAGTGTCTCATGATTTCATGATCGTAAATTGAATGAGTCCGTCGTCTTTTCGTCTCGCTTCCCTGCCGCTCCCAGTCGCTGAGCCGAACGCGAGGGTCTTATCTCGCAGTTAAAACATCTCCCGGTCTCCTCCCAGCTAGACCTACGTCGTTTTGCGCATTTCTTATAACGGGTTCAGTTTCATTAAACGAAGCTTTACAAAAAAAATCTAAGTCATTCTGGGAGTAACATAAATTTCATGAAACAAAAGAAATGCCTTTATGCTACCAAGTGTAACATCTTCAGGCAGGCACGCGAAGAACAGAACTAACCATACAAATCACTAATATAAACAGTATTGCAAAACAGAATGCCCAAGGCGAAAACGATAATCACGACACATCCGTTAGTGATGTGTAGTCAGATCTATTTATAGCTCTCAGCTGACTACAATCTCCTTACAACGGTACCGCAAGTTCAACCTGTTTTTGGCGAAAGTGATGACAACTCCTCCAGTGTGACATACAGTTTCCTTCATCACTTAAAAAACTCCATTCAGAAGATGATGCTATTCACCCAATTCCTCTCTTTTTGTGTTTGTTTTTGTAAAGTGTTTTACGGCGCTTGCAACTGCATAAGGTCATATGAGCGCGCGGGACACACCTAATATTTTCAGTTGGTAGGAAATTTTGAATTTTGCCCGGGTGGCGGCCGAAGCCTACTCTTATCGATTTTAGACCACCAAGGGATCTTTAACGTGCGCAACTTGCACATGGGGCCCTCCGAGATTTTTCGCCCTTGTCCGAGAAGACTAGGTGTAGATCTTTCCTACCAGAAGATCAGGGGTGTGGCAGAGAGACATCAGTAAGGAGGAGCCAAGGAGTAACAGTAGAAAGGCTGCAGAAAGAGTCAGGAGCCCAGAGGAGGGGGCAAAGGAGGTGAGGGGTGGGGGCAGAAAGTGGAAATGAAAGCAGACGACAGAACATTGGTAAAGAGCAGGAAAGGGGGTGAAAGGAGACAATTTTAGAGAAGAAAATTTTTCGGTCGCTACCCGGATTCGAACCCGGGACCTTTGAATGAACACCTTAACCTCTAGGCCACGAGAGCCCTCGAGAATTCCCCTCTACGTTGACATACTCTCGGCCCTGAAACGTCTTGCGCGGTGTTTTCTTTTCATCCAGAACAATAAGATAGTTGCAAAGTCTCCATTGTTCAGAAATTGACCATATCTGTACGTCGTGTTTTACTATCGTATCCATACGACGTGTGGAACTCTGTGCCACCACTTAACCCTATCCGTACGTCGTGTTTTACTATCGTATCCACACGACGTGGGGAACTGTGCCACCACTTTCCAAAGAGGAAATTTACTCGTTAATCCGATCCGTACACTTTGCGTAGCAGTCTATCAAAATGCATTTTTGAGAAATACTGAAAGTTTCAAGTTTCAAAGAGATCTTCGCACTAGAAGTATTCTAAGCAAATGTGAAGAATACAACCCCGGGGGTACAAAATGACCGAAGGGGGGACTGATAGGGTTAAGAGACTATGGCCACTTGCCCTTCATTTGGCTGAAATAGCTCGCTCCATAATGACCCAGATATACGTCAGAGTAGAGTATCTTTAAGGTGTTCCCCCTCTTATTCAAAGTCTTGGGTTCGAATCCGGGTAGCGATCGAAAAATTTTCTTTTCTAAAATTGTCTCCTTTTACCTCCTTTCCTGCTCTCTAGCAATGTTGCGTCGTTTTCTTTCGTTTCTTCTGTCTGAAACCCATCCCCTCACCTCCTTTGTCCCTTCCTCTGGGCCCCCGATTCTTTCTGTAGCCTTTCTACTGTTTCTCCTTTTCTCCTTCTTACTGCTGTCTTTCAACCAAAACCTTGGTCTTCTGGTAAGAAAGATCTACACCTAGCCTTCTTGGACAAGGACGAAAAATCCCGGAGGTTCTGTGTGCAAGTTGTGCACGTTTAAGATCCCTTGGTGGTCTAAAATCGATACGACAAAAGTAGGCTTCGGCCGTCACCCTGGCAAAATTCAAAATTTCCTACCAACTGAAAAATGTTTAATTTGTCCCGCACGCTCATATATGACCTTATTCAGTTGCGAGCGCCGTAAAACTCTTACAACCCCCCCCCCCCCAAAAAAAAAAAAACAACAACAACCAAACAAAAGAAAAAAAAGGCAATCTATGATGTATAGCTACAAACGTATGGCCTGTCCAAACTGTCCACACCCAGAGTTGGTCTACGGTCAGACCAGACCAAGGACGGCTAGCACCGCGGGGGACAACTCCTGTGTCTCGGCTAGTGGTGGACAAAATCCGGATAACGTATCTGTATAACCGGATAATTCTCAATGAAACATTATCCGAATTCAGACTCTTAAACGCTCTGTTCTAACCCGTTTGCCGAAGTGGGTGCACCCATTTACTGAAGTGGTTCTAACCCGTTTGCCGAAGTGGGTGCACCCGTTTACTGAAATGGTTCTAACCCGTTTGTAGAAGTGGTTCTTACCCATTTGCTGAAACGGTTCATAACGCATTTAATTGCCGAAGAGGTGCACTAACATATTATTCGAATTTTGCTAAAGCGACTCATTGCCCAGCCCTAGTCTCTGCCCTCTCTGGATGCTAATCTCTGGCTGGCCGCAGACAAAGACGTAGTATGACGGAGTAGACAGAGGCGCAGACAGGTAAAAATGGGAAGCGTGTTGACAAAATGAATTACTTCTCGGATTCTAGCCTTAAGAAAATAAATACAGCACGCTTATAGATGAAGTTTTTAACAATGTATATGTATGAAATAATAAAAGACATGTTATAGTTAAAGAATATGGGATCAATAGAAAATCTACAAATTTGACCCGTAGGTTGATTATTGGCTAATATCTCCATTTGTGGATTGCGAGAAGTAACTCATTTTGTCATCAGTTCTCACAAATGGTCGTCTAATGCAGGAACATAGCAGGACGGAAAGACAAGCAGAGACAACAGGTGGACTGAAAAGAAGTAGGACCCACTAGTGGTACGATACCAGTCAAGGAATCTCAAACACATTTGCATAATAAGTTATATTTTATGCCAACGGCAAAGCGGTTTGCACACGTTTCGTTATCATTTCTGAAGAAAAAAGAGTTAACTGTTGCTAAAAATGGCAGGTTTATTGTTGATTTAAACCTAAACCGCCCCTACCCCCCACCCCCCGGAAAAAATAGAAATACAAGAATATGAATAAAAGTAAAATTAATAATCAACATCATCATTGCCTTTCTCACCCTGGATCAGGATATAGGCCACGAACAAACATTTTCCACCTTTCCCTATCCTGGGCTAGTCGCTTGATGTGACTCAATGTCTTCCCACTTTTCTGTACATCCATTTCCGTGACTCTTCTCCAATTTCCACGTGGTCTTCCCCTGGATAAAATTGATAATAGTAAATATATAAATGAATATATATGAATACATAAATTTTAAAATATAGATACTT